CCAGTTATTTCTTCAACTCATTCATCTCTGAAGCTGACATTCTGTAAGGAGCCATTGACATAGGACTTGTACCTGGCGCTAATTCTATAGAAAAATCCACTTCACGTTCTTGAAAGAAATCACTAATGTCATCTGGAAATACTTCTGAAAATTTACAGACAATGGGTAATTCCATAGTCGCAGCTTTACAATCAACTAGCAGCGATGAAAACATTGCAAACATCAAGGCTTCATCTTCCACAAGTTCATTCACTTGCTTAGAAGACAACAACATCAGTTCTACATTATCATCAAACTTAGGGAGCCTCAAAGTTTTATTATAACAATGATATGAACATAGTTGAATTCCAACCAGTTCATCCCAAGAATAACGTCAATTTGGAATAAGGGTAGACACACAAAATCCATCACAAAACTCTTACCACAAATGTTCAAAGGACATCTCGAACAAACATATGTAGTAGTAATAGAACCACTAACAGGAATATCTATTACCATACTATCATTCAAATTAGATAACTTCAATCCTAGCATATTAGCGCATTCACGTGAAGTAAACGAATGAGTAGCCCCAATATCAATAATGGAAACCAATTCAAAATTGTTAACAAAACAAGTACCACGAATTAAGTTGTCTTTCTTGGAGGAACAAACTCAACCGAGGAAGAGAATTTCCATGAATTGTATCGATTGAGATTCCGTAGGTTGGTGATATTGTTGGGAAAGAGATTTATATTTCTTTATCTGCTGGGGAGATTGCGGGGAATATACCCTTATTTAAGGAGACTAATCTGTGGGGGGATAATCTCATAGAAGTGGTTCTGGCGACTTTACTAGGGATAACCTTATGAAATGGATTCTGTGAGGATTTATGGACAGCTTGATTGTCATCTCAGCTCCTTAAATGCTTATTCTTGTTCTTAGTTATTTGTTAACAGTTAATCATGTTCATATGCACATGCTCATTCAATTTTAGTCATTGGACGTTTTTGCAAGCAAAATAAAAAAACAAAAAGTTTGAACTTCAAAGTATATTTGTACTGATAATTTGCCTATAAATAGGCGGTTTTGTACAAAGAGACGAAATCCTAGTAAGAGGAAGTCGTCGTAAAATGAAAGATTACAAAGTAAAAACAAATGTATATATCCATGTGGAAGTGATCTCATTGGGTTCCAACTCCTCTATTGCCACTATGCCTTGGAATATCATCCCTTGTCGTCAGAAGAAGTTGATTTCACTGATTTTGTACCATTTGAACTTTTGACCTTAGTAATAAAGCTGGCTGTATGTGATCCAACGGAACATAGTCGTATGCTTTGGTCCCTAAATTTTTCCTGGACCGCTCTTTCGGGTTTTTAGTCCACCAGGATACCATTTTTTTCCCAAGCCTCCTTTTCATGTTTTTGACTTGCCAGATGTACAATTTTTTGTATATATTCCTAATTTTTGCCTGAACCTTTTTGGTTTGCTGGGATACCCTTATTTTTCCTAGGTATGTCAACCTAGCGTGTCATTCTTATGCGTAGTATTTTTTGACTAAGTCCGTGTTCACAGGGTGCGGGAAGTCTTCACCATCCATGGTGGTTAACATCATAGCACCGGCTGAGAATACTTTCTTGACAACAAATGGCCCCTCGTAGGTGGGAGTCTATTTTCCCCTGGATCGCCTTGTGGTAGAATGATGCGCTTTATTATCAAGTCACCAACCTGGTATACTCGATGCTTGATCTTCTTGTTTAATGCCTTGATCATACATTTTTTATACATTTGACCATGACAAACAACAACCAGCATTTTCTCATCAATCAAATTTAACTGATCTAACCTAGTATGAATCCATCCGTCTCCGTCTAAGTCTGCTTCTTTCATAATCCTTAAAGAAGGGATTTGAACTTCGACAGGTATGACAACTTCCATGTCATAGACCAAAGAGAAAAGGGTCGCCCTAGTTGATGTTTGCGCCGACGTACGATAGCCATGAATATAAAATGGTAGCATCTCATGCCAGTCCTTGTAGGTCACCACCATATTTTGCACAATCTTCTTTATATTTTTGTTAGCAACTTCCACTGCGCTATTCACGATATATATATATATAACAACAGTGTGCAACCATGCGAATACACGGGTAGATGACTACTTAATTATTTACTTTATTTTTTACTAAAATATACATTTCAACAGACTGAGACTATTTAATTTGTATATTTTTTATATAGATTTCTTAACCATCACTATACTATATTTATTTACTATTTATAATGACATTATGCGTCTCATGTGAAAGCACAGGTAGATTACAACTTAATTATTTCACTTATTTTTTACTAAAATATATATTTTTGACGAATCGAGACTACTTAATTTATATATATTTTATATACACTTCTTAACAATCAGTGTACTATATTTATTTACTATTTGTTTCGATATTGTGCGATCCATACAAACACACGAATAGATGACTACTTAGTTATTTCATTTATTTATTTTTACTAAAATATATATTTTCGACAGGTCACAGAATCAAGACTATTTAATTTATATATCTTTTTATATTATTTTATTAATCATCACTATAACATATTTATTTACTATTTTAAACGAGTACTCTCTTAGTAGATATAAATAAATCTAAAAATTAGGGATGTTAATAGGACAGGGTGGGGACGAATGATACATTCCCATCTCAATCTCTACCCTCGAATCTATTTTCCGTCCGTGTCTCGGATCTCCGCTACGGGGAGATTTTGTCTCCCATCCCCGTCCCTGTGATCCCCAAAGTTTAAACGGAGATCCATAAGTATGATTTTCTTTATTTATTATTTTAAACTAAATTATTAATAAAAATTTCAAAAATTAACCACAACAAATTTAGAAATTATCCTTTTATGATCAATATATTATTTTAACAATATTTAATCTACAATATTGAGTGTCATAACCACCAAAATTTCGAACTTATCAAGTTTAAAATAATCAATATTTTATTAATAATATATTTATATTTTAAATTTGTTTATAAGATAAAATATATGAAATGACCAATAAACTTATATAAAAATTTAAAATTATATATAAATTAGATTTATTATGATATTTTAGGCGGGACAAAGACTCCACGAGACAAAGAATATTTACCCCACCTCCGTCTTTGGGCCCTAAATGGGAAATCTATGTGAAAATCTCCGTTAATAGAACAAGTTGACATTCCTAATAAAAACCCTTGTGAAATAGTAATTATTATATTTCTCTCTCTTCCAAACAATAGAAACACTAAATTTCTCTTCATCTCAGTTCTGTGTTCTGAAATTCTGCTCAAACAAACAAAGTTTAAGAGAAATCGTGTGCGGGTGCTCTAGATCTCACCCTATATATACTTGCCTTGTTTATTCACTTTTCAACTCCGTTCATAGTCGCCGAAGCTGTGGAACTCAAAATAAGGTTCTTTCTTTTTACCCATTTTTTATTTATCGTTTTTTTTCATTCCAATTCGATTCTCTGTTAAGATTAAGTTCCTATATACTTACTTCCCCACTATTTTATTACCTATACATTTTAATTTTCTCCGTGCTTGGATCTTCTTAGGGTTCCGATTCAAAATCTTACTTCAATTCTTAGGGTTATTATTCAAGACTTAATTTTTCTGCATTGGTTAAGGGAATGAATTTAAATTAGAAGAACTTAAAATGTTGTTGTTAACAATCATGTGAATAAGTTGTAGATCTAGTGGTTTAGGGGGAATTGTAACGGCTAACTAGGGTTCGATCCCGTGACATCACATTATGTCAGATCCCTTCTGGATTCGGACTCGCAGTTCGATTGTTGTAGTAGTGCTATTTCCCGCTGGGTTTCCTTTTAAACTAATGCAATGTGATGTCTCTATAATAAGTTTATTTACCTATTATAAATGAAAATTTTGGAGATGCCATGGCTCATGGTCTTCCTATCTTCCTATAAAGACCCGTCACTGCAGGGGGCTATTCTATAAATGTATATTCAAAGGACAGTTATTTGTGATGGACTTCCCTGGATTAAGTCCTTGTGGGGTGACCGGGAGCTGTTACGAACCGCCAGAAAACAGTAATGTTTTGTGTCGGTTTATATTTTGTATCACATTAATCTGCAATTGTTTGTGAAAATGAGAATAATCAACGTGTCTTGGAATCGCTGGGGATATTGACCCATTTGTCGTTTCCATCTTGAAGTATGCTACTATATTGCATGATCTTGATTTTACTCCGCAGATAACCTTATACTAACATAAAAAAACACTCAATTTTTCTTTCCAACTAACCTTATTTTTGCTAAAACATAGGTGTTCAACTATACATTTCAATTAAAATTGATAAATATGAAATAAACATACATGATTTTTTTCCTATTTACATGATATGATATGTCTAATAATTACAGAGATCCTAATTAAACAAGAAGAAATCAGATCATATTGGATAGTTTAAAATAGTCTAAGCAAGATGTAAAAATGATGTCATATATTTCTCAAAATTTCTAACACTACAGAAAAATGATTCCTAAAAGTTATGTCTCTAGATGAATTTCTATGTGAATCTATGTTGTATCTTATGCCCAACATACAGTCTTCCTGGTTAGCTTAATTGATCAAAGAGTGGTGTGACTCTCTAATGTTTTTCCAAACCTAGAGTTCATGTTATACCGGGAATATTATTAGTTTTTGAGAAGTACATGAATGTTATCAACATTGTGACACAGAGACTTGCTATCCAGTTTTGGGTGCTGAGTACGGTGACATGATTGATGCAAGATGGGTTGCTTGTTGAAATTTCATGTTCTATACTGTTGGGATTTTGGTTTTTATATTTTGAAGGGGAGGTGGGGGTTTGGCTAGGCTTAAGGATGATCTTGGATGTGGTTGTGATGTGGACAGGAGGAGCCAGTGCCTGATTTTGTAGGTTGTGGTGGAGGTGGTTTTGCTGATCAGTTGTGGTAGAAGTTAAGAAAGAAAACAAGTGAAAAAATGAGTTCAGACAGCCGCAGCCGAAGCCGAAGCAGGAGTAGGAGTCGTAGCCCTGGGATCCGTAAGATTCGCTCTGAACGACATTCCTATCGCGATGCTCCTTACAGGAGAGATTCAAGTCGGGGTTTCAGGTATTTTTCAAACTATTTATTTTCTGTTATCTTTTCCTACTCAAATGTTCTGGTGATAAGGTTGGATAAGAATGAAACTCTGCTGTCTAGAAGAGGCTTTAAATTTTATAGGGCTGTTTGTAAATCAGTAAGCCAATTTATTTACTTTTTATGAAATGATATCTTCACACTCTACCTGCTGCTTTGATAAGTTCTTTTTGTCAAGCCGATTGACATTTTGAATGTGTGTGCTTTTCACTGCAGTAACCATAGCTTGTTTTTTTATTTGTCAGCCGAGACAATTTGTGCAAGAACTGCAAGAGGCCTGGTCACTATGCTAGAGAGTGCCCTAATGTTGCAGTTTGCCACAATTGTGGCCTTCCTGGGTATGAAATTCTGTCTCCTTTTTTATTTATTTTACTTAGCATGCTATTCTTTGATGTATTGCATTCTTTGGGTTTTGTTTGGGAGTTTAGAAGGGGAGGAGAGGACTTTGAAACAAAGAAAGAAGGATGAATTGGAAATAATTGAATGTTTTCGGAAGGGGAGGGTCTTGAGGAGTTTATTTTTCTTATAATACAAAATCCCCCCTAATATGGGGTAACTCAAGTTTTATCGTAGGGTTCTGGCGGGCTTTGATAAACTATCCAAATTCAAACTATGTTTTTATGATTCTCTAAATATTAAAAATATAGTATAATCACGTCTATGCATAAACACTTTCAAAGAAGCTAAAAAAATTATCTTTTTTGTCCTCCTCCATTCTCTCTCTCCAAAACCCTCCCTTCCCCTCCAAACTTCCAAACAGAGCCATAGTAAATTATCACGGAGAGGGACGGAAGTTGGTCTTTGAGTTTTCTCTTTAATTTAGACCTTGCATGATTTAAGTTGATAATTGAAGTTTTTAACAGATTCGTTGTGGTCTTTTCATTTTGAACTTCAGCTACATTTTCTTTCTTAGATTTTGATACCTGTTAGTATTGACATGCTTTACTTACATTTTTTTGATGATACTTTCCCTTGCTCTAATGTCCATAATGGCCAATTCATTTTTGTGTTACATTATGCACTGTGGTTGACTTAGGCAATTCACATATTATATTCATCTTCTGCTCATTTTACTTTTTCCCTTTCTCAATCCTTGATTATAGTTTCTTCTTTAGCTTTATGTTGATGTTAAATAATTGCTTTATATGGTATGTTATTGAAGTTTCCAGTCTTTTAAGAGGCATCGGTTGTGTTGTCTGAAAAGATTGAAAAAAAAGCTCATGATTTTCCTCAATTCACTCAATGCCAGTGTTGTCAAATGCAGAAAACTGCAGTTTGTTTATACTCCGCTACGCAACAGTGTTACAGTGCTGCTATTTCACAATATTTTGTACTAAATATTTTACTGTGGGACAATTGAGATTGTTTAAGTTCCGCTATTTAACAACAATGCTTAACACATAATTGCACCTCTACAGTTGTTACATCTATCTGAACTGATACTGAAATTATATCAGAGCCATTTTATTTTTGATTATATGGATGAAGTCCATTTTCCTTATTCGATCTGATGGAAAATATTAATTCCTTGTTTGACTAAAATGTAATGGAAAATATTTATGTGGCTGATGTAATCATGTCTAAGTCTTTATACCTTTTTCTCTTTCATGATCATTCTACAATTTCAGTCTTTGCTCTAGGATAAATTTAAATTTGAAATATAGGTTGTTTTGGCTTTTACGATTTCCAAATTTGAAAAAAAAGCTACTTGATTCCTTTTAGAAGTCGGCAATGTTAAATTGTTAACTATCTGATATTTACAGACAAGCGTCATGGTTTGATTGGCTAGTTTTTCTGATTTTTCCCCTTTATGCTTAATCAGGCACATTGCGTCTGAATGCTCCACAAAATCCGTGTGCTGGAATTGCAAAGAACCTGGTCACATGGCCAGCAGTTGTCCAAATGAGGGAATTTGCCACACCTGTGGTAAAACTGGCCACCGTGCTAGGGAGTGCTCAGCTCCAGCAATGCCTCCAGGGGACTTGAGGCTGTGCCACAACTGTTATAAGCAGGGGCACATTGCTGCTGAATGTACAAATGAGAAGGCTTGCAATAACTGTAGGAAAACAGGGCACTTGGCACGTGATTGTCCAAATGACCCAATTTGTAACGTGTGCAATGTTTCTGGACATGTGGCTAGACAATGTCCAAAATCCAACATTATTGGAGATCACAGTGGCAGAGGCAGCTTCCGTGGTGCTGGTGGAGCGGGTGGTGGTGGTTACCGTGATGTCGTGTGCAGGAACTGTCAACAGTTGGGTCATATGAGCCGGGACTGCATGGGCCCCTTGATGATTTGTCACAATTGTGGAGGCCGTGGTCACTTGGCATATGAGTGTCCTTCAGGTCGCTTTATGGATCGCTACCCTAGTGATCGCTTTGTGGATCGATACCCTAGTGATCGCGATCGCTACCCTAGTAGGAGATACTAGTGGATTTCAGGTTATGGATTATGGTTATAACTTATATCGTTATTTTTCTATGATTATTTGGTTGAAGACTGATTGTTGAATATTGGTACTGTGTGTTTGCTTTTACTCTGAACTCGGTAGAGTCACGACAATGATTGTCATGATGATGCCAATACATAAGCTGTAAGTGCTTATGATTGTGCTTGAGCTAGGAATAAGATTTTGCTACTTGTAAGAGGTTTGGTTTTTGTTATGCACCCATCCTGCTACCTTAATAAGCTACTATGTTGAAGTTTATTGTGTTATGTCGCATAAGTTATTATATTATATTATATTTATACCTAGAGTCCAATGGTGCGAGAGTATTATCTATTTTATTATTATTTTCAATTGCGTTTATCAATAAAAAAACTAAATTTTTTTTGAGATTTATATCAATTTTTTTGTGTGGTTTGTTGCAGATTTTGGTTTTTCTCTATTTGATTTGCGAATCTTTACACAACGGTTTTGAATATGAACACCCACAATAATAAGACATTGTTTCCTCATTTCAAGATACTAATATGATGTTAGCACTTCAATCATTGAAGTAGTTGAGCAAGTTTTGAAGGGTAGTCTTTAAATTAGGACAAGTTTTCCCTCTCTATCGTTATAGTTGAGGAATTTTTGAGTGTATATAAATTAATTGCATCCACTAAACATCACATAATTGATTTTATATTTTCAAGATATTAGGATTAATAAAAATGGAGTATCTTGACATGTGGTCTTAAACTGTACTAAATTAGGGGTTTTGATCTCATAAAATAGGGATTAAGAAAAGAGCACATACTAATATAGTGGATGAGAATTTGGTTCTGATAGTTACCAGTGAAGAAGAGAGAGTTTTTCCAACCAGGTGCTAGACTGAAGCCATGACTATGATAGTTACCAGAGAAGAATAGAGTTTTTCCAACCAGGTGCTAGACTGAAGCCATGACTATGATAGTTACCAGAGAAGAATAGAGTTTTTCCAACCAGGTGCTAGACTGAAGCCATGACTAGAGTTCCTGAGTATAAAAATAAAAAAAACAAAAAAAAAAAACAGTCAATGGTGGTGAATTACTAGTACATTGGAAGTGGTTCAAAGAACAAAAACGAAACTGAAAGAACATGACAAGAGAAACTCAAGTAGGATGCTACGGTAAGTTTATAATAAAATTGTCATCTAACCTTTTTTTTTTTGTAAATTTATATTTGTAATGCAAATTATTTCAATTCTCTTAAATATCTGGAAAGATTTTCTAAAATTGTAAAACTCCATGAAATTTATTTTCTAAAATTGTAAAACTCTGAAATTTTTAGTCTCTCTAATTAAGATTACCATCTCTTCACTTACTCTTGAAATTTTAAAAGAAAAATCGACAAATATATATATATATATATATATATATATATATATATATATATATATATATATATATATATATATATATATATATATATATATATATATATATATATATATATATATATATATATATATATATATATATATATATATATATATATATATATATATATATATATATATATATATATATATATATATATATATATATATATATATATATATATTTGTAACGGTTGAAACACAACATATTCATAACGGTCCGTATCTGACCCATTACCGAGAGCCACTGCCTGCCAAACGTGATGATTGCCATTGTCCGCCAATTGATAGTCGTCACAAAATGAACTTCATTTGTTGCTTTCTACAGATCACCGTTGTCGCATTCTGTGGCAATCATTGTTGTCGCACCTTTGTTGATGGTCAATCGACCCCGTTGTACAACGGTGATGTGCTTCGTCACTTAAACTTCGTTGGTCATGCTGCTCCTTTAGGTTTGACATTATTGACTTTTATCGTTTAGATCTTTGAAGCTTTTCTACGACTCTGACGCCTTTGGTTTTTAACAGTCTCAAAACATATTTTTCTTCTCTTCATCACTTGAGGTTTTAAGACACACTTATACAATTCTCCACCTTAATTTTAAACATGTTTACTAGTAAACTATTTTGTTTCTTTCTCCTAATTGAATCTTCATTCAAAAATCTTGATTTTGTCACTTGCATTATAACACCCCAAATTTAGAACTATGATGCTTATATGCTTATTTATGAATATTGTGTGAATTATGATGTTGTGTGCTAGAATATTAGTGGAGATATAATTGAGAGTTAGAATTATTTAAAATTATTAAATAATATCTTTGATCTGGACTGGACCTACATTTGTCCTACGAACAAAAGGCCAAAACGACCCAAGTTAGAGATTGTGGGGCACCTCCCCATCTAACCGTTGGGGACGTGGCCCACCACTTTTCAACGGACATATCAAACTGCCTTTCGGGAATTTCGGGTCCCATCCTATTCTCGCAGAGCGGTTGACCAGGAGGGAGTCCACTTGCTGGACTCCATACTCGCGTAAACCCTGACAGTTCTCGTTATTGGGCCTCTGCGTAGCCCAATAGTGGGGACCTTGGCCCAATGCTGTGGGCTATAAATACCCTCTCTCATGAGAGGGTCAGATATTCATTCATTCACACCTGCATATATACTTACTTGTTCATTTCGTCTCTCACTTTGCCATCGGAGTGTCTTGCAAGTACCCCCTCCCCATCTCCTTTAAATCCAGCCCGAAGCCAGTTGTAACGGTCAAACTCTGATCAGGTACGATCAGTGGCACCGGCTGTGGGGATCTAAGCTTCCCCGTCTTCTTCCCGTTTAAAAGACAAAAGCTAACAATCCTCGACTGTCATGGCTGACCAAACTCAAGACAACTAGAACGTCCATGTCATTGACATTAACAACAACATCGTCGACAATAATGCCGGCCTCGACAACGCCGGTACCGCCAGCCATAATACGGTCCCTGGCGTCAACGTCCTCGGGCCTTCTAACTACCGAAACGGAGCCACGACTTCTTCTTCATCAATCCCTCCTCGACTGGAAGAAGATCAACCAATTCTTCTGAACTACCCAGCCGTCCAATTCCACGAGGTCCCCGTCCCCGCCGGGGCGGACGCCACGACCAACGCACTGTTCGCAGCGATTAACCAAACCAAATCTCGTCTTTTCCCAAGGGGAAAGACTGAGAGCACTCGAGGACGACCGAAGGCCCCCTAGAAGGCACAAAAGACCTCAATCTCCTCCCCACTCGACAAGCGGACGAACGTCCCCGATCTCCCCCGCGGAGACAGAATCAGGACATTTCCCGAAGCCCGTCGCCTCGACCAATCGGGCGACAAACCCCTTTGGAGAGGGAACCACTCGTTGACGCAAGAAGGCACGACCATGGCCCCTCACGGCAAGAACGAAGACCTCCTGGAGACAGACATGGGGGAGACCATAAACGGTCACACTGCTCAAGGAATACTCTGCGCGACCAAGGCCACCGTGACCGCCAATACATCAGATCCCTGTCCCGTTCCCCGGAACAGAGTGACGAGGACGACCCATGCGGTCCCTTGTCACAAGCCATCATGGAGGCTCTCATTCCCCCGGGAATGGAAAAGCCTCCCCACTTAAAGGAGTATGACAGCGTCGCTGACCCGGTCGACCACATAGACGAGTTCAAAGCCATGCTGCACTACCACAACTTCGGGGGATCAATCAAATGCTGGATGTTCCCCATGACTCCGAGGACAGCGGCTATGGACTGGTACAAAGGTCTCGCCCCAGGGTCAATTACCACTTGGCGAAACCTGAAGAACCAGTTCATCAGCTCGTTTACTACTTCGCGACGACACCTGAAGACCGAAGCAGCGCTCGAGGCCATCGTCCAGAAACACGATGAGACCTTGAGAGAATTCATTAACCGCTTCAACCGGGAAGCCATCCAGGTCCCCTGCACGGACCATATGAAGAGATACTTGCTGGAGAGGGGACTCCTCTCCGACACCAAATTCAGAAAATCTGTGGGCATCGAACCACCTCAGACGTTTGATGCCCTCCTCGAAAAGGCCAGGGCCTACATGGACTACAAGGAGATAGAAGCGGCCAACAGAGCCCGAGACCCCAGAAACCGCGAATCCAGCAGCAATCCGCGACAAGACATCGCCCCTCCTCGATGAACTGGAGAAAAGAGAAGGGACGATAAACCCCGGGACGCCCGGGAACAAAGGGGACCCTCAGGGAGGTTCACAGAATGCACCCCGCTTACAGCTTCTAACGAGCGCATCTTAGCGGAGTGCGCAAGTACAGATTTAAAGGACGGCAGCGTCAAACGCCCCCACCCAGCTCCTGCCAAACCTGGGGTGGACCGGAGCAAATACTGCCAGTACCACCGGAGCCACGAGCATCTGACCGAAGACTGCGTCCACCTCAAGGATGCCATCGAGACCCTCATAAATGGGGGAAGACTTGCACAATACTGGAGAAACGACGCCCCTCGTCGGGACACCCGTGAGACGAGGGAAGCAAAAGAGGATGCCCGACCATCTGACGAGTCGGTTCCCATCCAGACAGTGTTCTCCGTCACAAGACCCAAGGACTTCTACATCCCCGAACATTTGCAAGAACCTATATCCATGCACAGCAGGTGGGAACACTTCCCCTCTGCCGTGGTCATCAATGGTGAAGGGTTCAATGATTTGACCATAAATTCAGCTAAGAGGAAGCTGGACGAGTTGGTCGACACGACCCCCCCTCAAACGGTGACCTTTGAAAAGGTGAGAGGCAAATCAGAGCCAATCACCTTCTACCTCGAGGAGCTCCCCAGAGGGCCCCCCAATTCGGCCATCCCTTTGCTGATAAGGGCAAGAATGGCCACCTTCGGCATACATCGCGTCCTCGTCGACAAGGGAAGTTCCGTCGACGTGATGTACAACCGGCTGTTCCGAACCCTGCAGCTCGACGACTCTCACCTTTCACCATACGTGGGGTCAGACCTGCAGAGCTTTAACGACTCGACCTCCAAGCCTTGGGGATACGTCGAGCTCATGGTCACGTTCGGCGAGGATACTGCTACGAGGCAAGTCAAGGTGCGCTTCCTAGTCATTGATTGCCCCTTCCTCTACAACTGCATTCTGGGAAGGCCAACACTGGCAGAGCTGACCGCGGTGCCCTCCACCGTCCATTTAAAAATGAAGTTTTACACTAAGAGGGCACGGGTTGCCACTATTCAAGGTGACCTGGCAGTTTCCCGAAGGTGTTTTAACGCGGCATCAAGGGACACGACCCAGTCGACACCAGCACAAGACCCACCAAGAAAGCTACAACTACACGACCAGAAGCTCAGCGGTCAAAGCCCGCCAGAGCAGAAGAGCAGAGAGCCCCTCCAAAGGTCGACTCGATATCCCCAGACACTCGCTTCGACCAGGATGAGCCTCCCAGCAGCGAGAAAGTCCCCCTTCGACCAATTCCAGACGGGGACTTCGAACTCATCCCCCTCGGTGAAGACCCAAGCAGAGGAGTGAAGATTGGTACCAGACTCCCCAACTTGGCGAGGAAGCAAATCAAGGCTTGCTTGCGGGAGAATGCGGATCTG